GCATGTCCCACCGGGAGGAGGCCCCGGGGAAGACCCAGGACATGCTGGAGGGACTATGTCTCTCAGCTGGCCTGGGAACGCCTCAGCATTCCCCCGGAGGAGCTGGAGGAAGTGTCTGGAGAGAGGGAAGTCTGGGCATCTTTGCTTAGACTGCTGCCCCCGCGACCCGGTCTCGGATAAGCGGAAGAAAATGGATGGACGGATGGACAAGCTTGGAGGTCAGATAGAAAAAGATTTCAATGTATGGCAGAAATGGAGATATGACAACGCCAAACACTGATGGCAAAAAAGGAAACAGATGAAACAAGATACTACGAAAACTAAGAATCACCATGCATGCAGTGGAGCAAATGAAAAACTACAAAGACAAGAGCTGGACAAGCTGTTTAGGGCTCAGGGCTGGCTTGTGTAAATGTGAAATTAAAAAACTATCAGAATCATTTCCTCCTTATTTATGCTTGAGGATACATTAGTGCAACACACTTGCATCTCTCACCAAATTCAAGTTTCATTGCACGTAATGCAGTCACCATGTAATATTTAAAAGAACAATAATAATGACAAGTCAAGTCAAGCAATGTTACAGGAATACAATCCAGTGCTATTTTAAATTAACACAAAAACATAACAGCTCTATGACAAAGTAGCTGGATCTGCTGTTGTCTTCATAAGACCTTATATCCAGAGGTCCCAGTTTGTATAGAGCAGCAGAAATGCAAGAACAACCTTGGACCAAAGCCTTAAATGTTTTGAAAGTTGCAGACTATGGAAAGTGCCACAGAGGGTCTGGGGAAAGGGCTAAAACACCACAGCAGCTTCACTCCATGCAGTATAAAGAAATTAGCAAACAAAAATGAGAAAATGAGTGCAGCTAAAATGACTGCATGACTGCAACTAAAATAGCTCCTATAAAGTTGAGTTGTTGTTAAAGAACATGATTTTGACAGCCAGTGGGGTACCTCAAATGCACAGATTAAGTCACTGAAAGACGATATGAAATAGTTTAAGGTGCTGAAAGATTTCAGTGCATGACAAAAAAGGCGTTGCTGTGCTTTTGTTGTAACAAGGCTGACTAAATCACTGCCATAGTACAGTACTTTATTAAGCGTCAAATTGCAACAGCTTTACCTAATTCAGATCGAGCTACGTTCATGGGAGCCATCTCCATCCAGGAGTCGAAGCGGGGGTCGTAGCGCCACATCTCCCTGCTGGCAGAGCCTTCAGGAAACTCTCCTCCAGCCAAGTACAGATTGGAGTCTACACAGAGCCGGAGGAGAAGTGGGAAAGGATGGTACCAAACATGTTGCTTGTCAGCTGAGCTCAGCAGCTGAATTCAGAGAGAACACAATGTGGAGTCAGTTTCCTCACCTGACACGACCAGTCCGTGCTTGCTCACAGCGAACGGCAGGCAGGCCAGGTTCTTCCACTTGTTGGTCACAGGATCGAAGCTCTCAACGCTGCGCAGCACAACCTTGTCATCCTCTCCGCCAACTGTCACAATCACTTCAACCATCCCTGTTGCCACAGCAACAAGGGAGTGGAGGAGAGAAAAGTGAGATGTGCTGATCTTATCTTTGGATAGATGTTAATCTATAAAAAAAAAATAACTCCTGTAGGACATAACACAGTGGCATGTTATTTATCTTCATCATTGATTAATGTGTCATTTATCCTCCTCGTTATTCAATCACTTGGTCAATATAACATTCACAATAACAATTTCTCAGTGACCTCATTGGTGTACTGAAATGTTTGAAATGATTATTTGAGCGATTATTTGACTTGTGGTGTGTGAGTGTAAGGGGAAACAGAAATTAACCCATAGAGTGTAAAAGAAAAGAAGCTGAATAGCAGCTTCAGTGTACCTCTGTAAATAAAAGCAGACAATAAGGTGACAGAAGTAAATCTGATGTTTTTCAAAGACAGACATTTTAAACTAGAAAATGCAAAAACTTCAAGTGCACCAGAAGAGAAAACACACACCAACAGCGCAGGTGTGAGCATGCTCACCTGTGGACCTGCGAGGCCGTGCCCTCGGACAATAGAGCTCTCCACGGCGGTCCTTTAGTAGCAGGTAATCCTTTGCTTCAGAGATGAGCCTCTGGCAGCCTTGGCTTTCCTTTACCACATCCAGAGACTCAATGGCATCATGCAGGTAGTAGGGGCTGATAAGTGGCAGCCGGATATGCTCGAGGACCTTTGAGAAAAACAAATGACAGTGAGAGATACATTTTACCTGGACAGTTCATCTTCATCATCCATTGTACATAACAGGTCCAGCATATGCTTCATCCAACAGGGGATTCTTTGACCCATAATTGGATTACTGAATGGCTGAGTCAGAGAGTCCTTGAGCAAGAGGCTGCTGGGATTTGGACAAAATTACAGAACGCCAGAAAACCTATTTGATCTGGATCCTGAAGTAGAGTATCTGCTGATAGAGGGTCTGATCTGAATTCATCTCTGCTATAATTTTGTCAAATTTTCTCCCTTAGTACAGCTGCACAAAAAAAGCCTACATTTACATGAAAAGTTAACAGAATAGTTCTGCCTTATGAAAAAATACTTCATCACAGGTTTCTTCTAATATTTTGCATAGTACACTGCAGTGTTTTTCATGATACTGAATGAGGAGAGAGGCGTCAGTGTGGATCAGCTGTTTGGAGAGCTTGTGTAATGATCAGCTTGTGTAAATTTGAGTGAATCTGACCTTTTCAAAGCTCTGTTTGCGAGAGGGGCATTTATTTAGCCACAGCATGGCAGCTTCAAACACCATCTCCTCTTCGGGCACATTGAGATGGTCGCTGGCGAGGATTTCTGTCAGTTTGTCCACACACAGAGACAGGAACTCGTCCTATGGGGGAAGAAAATGGGAAAAATTAGAACAGACTTATAGACAACAGACTTACAGTGCCAACATGACAACCTACTGACACAGATTTAAGTACCTCAGTTTTTGAGCATCTCATTCATTATACCAAAAACAAACATTCTTGTGATGATTAAATGTTAATTGACAATTTACCGCAAAATAAATTGCACTGTAATACAAAGTCTCCTATGATAAACTGTATCCATGCCACCCACCCCTACTTGGGAGTCTGTTTGATAAAACATTTGGACACTGCTGCAAAAATAAGTAATCCACGAGTCTCTCACCTGCTGATAAACAACACTGAAGTGCTCCAGGATGTAGTCCATGCTGTGTTTCTCCAACACCTTACAAGAGTGGGCCTCAGCAAAGCAGTGAATGCCCACACAGTTCATCTCATCCATCTGATGCTCCATAAAACGACAACAGGCCTCTCTGACAGCCATCACGTCCAGCAGATTGGCTGCTGCCAGCAGGGCCTAGCCCACGTATGATATAGAGGTCAGCTCACGTGTAATTCAGGTGGAAAAGCAGAAAAGCTGAAAGCAGATACTTTACCTGCACATTTGCTTTAGAAATGTAGACCTCTGATGTGTAGGCATAGCTCACCAGCATGCCAATCATCTGAGGTTCAACTCCATTGATGGCAACTCGCTCCTGCTTGGACTCTATCAGGTCAGTGGAAAACATTGCCTGGGAAAATAAATGGAGTAACACAAACAATTCATCAGTAAGATTTTGAAGCACACGAACATGCACCTGGACTCCCTGTGACTGCCACCGTGAGGAAAGCTGTGTTTACCTGAAAGTAAGAGCTGAAAGAGGCCAGCACAATGCGGTGGCAGGGGAACTCCTGTCCTCCACAGCACAGGGTCACATCACAGAAGGCGTTGTTGAGCCGCAGGCTGTTGAGACCCTGCAGGACGGTGTTGGGGTGCCTGGCCTCCACAAACAGAAAGTCCTCGCTCCCCTGCGAGGCTGGAGGGGAGCCAACCGCAGTGGCGTCCGGCTGGATCAACGAGGCAGCGTCCATGGTGGGCCGCAATGGCAACCCGGCATTTACTTGACTCAACATAATCTCAGCCATGTCTCGCTTTGCTAGGCAGGTCTGGGAGGCACAGAGACACGACACTTTCGCGTCTGATTTTAACATCAAACGACAATCAGAATACTAGCTGGCCAAGTACTTCTCAGTAAATTAACTCTCACAAGCTCTAGTTTTAGAGTAAAAATGTTAATAGTCGCGGAAACAAGGTCTGAACTCACTAATGATGAGGCTTAGTACAGGTGTAGTGGATTGGCAACGCACACGAGTTGTTTGTCACCGGGCGCGGTTTTGTGACGTCGCTGCCATGACGTGTGTTTTATTTATTTATTTTTATCGCATTGAATTTCACTATCTCTCCTTCTAAAACATCTCAAAATATATTCAAAAATGTTAATTAAAACTTCCCAAAGCCCAAAGCAGCACTTTAAATGTATTTGAAGCATTGCCCAGTCCAAAAATCAAATCACATTTCAGAAGCTAGAAGCAAAGAGTATTTTACATTTCTCTTTTTTAATGACTTGAAGGATTATAATAATTGGTGCTTAATTAATCAGTAATCAAATTGTTTCAGCACATAATGTCAATTGATTTCCTTTACCTGGAGATGCACCATTACATACCTAATCCCATCCCTTACCCTAACCCTCCCTGCCAGGACCAGTATAGTGTAGCCATATGGGAGTCCCCACAACATGACTGTGTGAACAAATGTATGTACCCACAACATGATCCATACATACATACAAACATTGTAAACATTATTTTATACACATTATTTTATTTGAGAATTATGTTGTATTATATTGTTTTATATGTATTATATTATGTCAACACAAAAAACAGAACAACCCAATCAGCCACTGACCCTGCTATCTCATTTCTGGATTGAAACAATCATTTCTGTTTTGTTTTATACAGAAAAATCTAACTATTGGCACTCTTTGCAAAAGACATACACTCATTTTAAGTTTCAAACAGGTTATTGAATCACTCTCCATGTTTTATTGCATCACATGCAAGTGTCCTTCATGATGCCAGGAGTCTCCAGTGTATTCTTCCTGCGGGCAGCGGCTTCCAGAATCTTCTTCCTGGGTCCTAGCTGGATGTGAATGCCTTTCAGGTCTTCATCAGAGCAAAGCATGAGTGCCTCCAAGTCCAGGTGCTCTCTGCTGAATGCAAGTGCAAACTCTGGCAAGGAGATGGCAGACAGGAATGCATTCAAAGGAGAGGTTTCCTCATCTTCATCATCATCCAGGCCCAGATCTTCCTCTTGCCAGGGCAGGTCAGCATCAGCAGTCCCTTCAAAGCCACCAGCATTTTCCTCTGCCTCAAACAACTCATTCTGGATGAGGTAGCCCAGACTTTCATTGGTCCCTCTGGGGACATCCTCCGACTCGAGGCCCATCCTCTTCATGAAAATCAGACCACCAAGACCTGGCCGGTTGAAGATAGACTGTTTGACTTGTCCTGGCTCTTCATTATCATCCCCTTCAAAGCCTGCCGTTCCTTCTTCATCTAACATCTCATCCTGCTCATTGAAGACATCCAGAAACTCCAGCTTCTCAGAGGTTTCATTCTCCTGTTTGAGGAAAATAACATTTCCATCTCCTCCTGGTGTCTGCAGCATACCTTTATCTTTCTTCCCAAGCTTTTTCTGGAGTGTGCCTTTAACCCTGGCTGTAAGGGACCCAGATTTATCAGCAGCAATAAGTTTAGAAAACTGCTCAGTGGTGCCTGTCATGGAACCATCGTTTGAGAGCGATGATGCCATGCTTGCCTCTGAAACAGAGCCAGTACTGCCTGCTCCACGGTACATTTTGTCCATCTTGTTCTGGTGTTTCTTCTTCACCTTCTCACAGAGTTTCACACGTTTTTCTGCTTCTTTGATGGCTTCCTTTTTTAGATTGGCAACCTTCTTTGGATTTTGCATGGTCTGCTTCGAGGCAGCAGCATCTAGGAAGCGCACACAGTTCATATTGTCACGTGAAGCAGCGACATCCATGGCTGTGTGTAAGTCATTGTCCAGTGCAAAAAGGTTGGCACCGAAGCTGACCAGAAAGCTGAGGATGTGCATGTGGCCATTAGCTGCAGCATGATGAAGCGGTGTATTTCCCCAGATGTCACTCCTGTTGGGGTCTCCTCTGTGTAAAACACACACACACACACACACACACAATATGTATTTAAAGTAATGATCTGCAACTTTTTTTTTAAATGTATCAATGCTTGATAGCATATAATAATGATTTTTCCCCTATCCAGTTCATAAGGGTTTATGAAACAAGTTTTAAGCAAGTCATAAAGTCCAGTCCAAGTGACAAAATGATAAACTGAGAACATTTATTTCCTACATCAAGATGTAACCCTACACACAGTAAAATGTATTAAAATTAAGCAGCAGAATCTAAAACTCAAAACTGCCTCAACCAAAAAGCAAACATTCACCTCAGTACACCCAAATGCAACACAACTAGAAGTAAACAATTCAATAAACAATGTAAATTTTATTGACAATTTCATGTTTTACTCAATAAGCAAGCTCTAATCAGACCAATAAAAGTTGGTTTGTTTAATATTTATTAAAAGATTAGTTATTCTAAATAACACTAATATACAAGAGTTCAACAGAAAATCTGCAGGTCCATGAGAGAAATGTAATCATACTCAAAAACAAAATGACTCTTCAAGCCTGTAGTAGTGGAAATGTTGGTAGAAATATTTCAAAAATAAATTGCACTCAAAGAGCAGGGGTGTTATGTGGTTTGGTTTGACAATACAGTTCTTCACCAGTTAAGGTTAATAATGGCTAACGGGTCTTTTAGATTATTTTGTCATTAAGTGATGGCTCAGTTTGACATTAAAGTTTGACATTTAAAACAAATATGCTTATTTTTTAGATGACCAGTCTTGTGTCTGTACAGTAATTACATCGCTGAAGCCAGTAACTGGTTAGCCAGAAACTGGTTCAGTAGTTTCCCTGTGTTTCAATTCTTTATGCTAAGCTAAGCTAACAGTCTGCTAGCTTTAGCTACACACATATACCCTACAGATATGAGAGTGGTATCAATCTTCTCCTCTGACTCTGAGCAAGAAATCAGTTTTTTTTTCTAAAATGTTACACCCTAAGACAATAATTACCTTATTTTTTCACAAAGGCACAACAATCAACTTAAAATACATTAACATATAACAAAATAACACTAAACAAGACTGGAAATAATTGGTAAGCCATTAAGATTTAAAGTACACCAGCTCCGTGCCTTATGGTAACAGCCATAAAAGTCTTGATTGCTGCAATGCTATAACTGCTGGTCATAAATCCCAGGTCATGCTACTGACAGTAGATGACGTGTGTTATACTCTTTTGAACATATTCTAAACATCATTTCTGAACCTTAGAGTGAAACTATTTTTCAGTGAAAAGGTTCTGCTACATTTCAGTCTCTTTTGTTGTACTGAATGAGGGATGGAGGTGGGTAGAGGGGAGAGAAAATGGGCTCTTTTGTTTTACAGGATAGCATTGACTGATTAAACATTTGGCTCTAAAGAGTGGAATGACATTTTAGCTCATTATATTGTGGTGGGCAGCAACAGCAACACAGTATTTTCCTCTCCTAAAATTCATTGGACAATAATGTTAACCTTTGCTCTGTGAACAATATTTATAGTTCTACTCTAGATCTTGTTCAGTTTCATTTCTAGGCAGTATACATAAGATATTACAGTAGAAATGTGATTAAATGTTTGAGTGCATCAGTATAGCCAGAAGGATCTATCAGTGGCAGGTGTGCTGTACGTTCTAATGGACATCAAAATATTTGAATAAACTACAGGACAATAAGGTAATAATTAGAAAGAAATAACTTGCTGTGGTCATCGGTTACTTGAGTCTTCGAATAGGGTATGTGATGAAGCAGAGGTAATAGAGAGGAGTGCAATGTGCTTACTCTCTGCTGCATATAAGCTGAAGAGCATCGACATGCCCGTGGAAAGCAGCCAATAAGGTAGGAGTCATGCCATCCTCATCCGCAGTATTCAGGTCCTTCCTTGTGGCCTGCTTCAACAGGTCCAAGTAGCCATCGATCGCCGCTTTGTGGTACCTAGTCATTTCTTAAAAGAAAAGAAAAGTTCAAACAAATCTGTCACTTTCATTCACTTTTTCTCTGCTCCTCTCAGATGCACACACTGACACGACTGTAGACCCAAGCAAACAAAGAGATCACTGGGTGTCAGCAGCTCAAAGCCATAAAACAAAAGCAAAGTCCAGTTCCCTGCTGTCGGCTGCACCGTTCTGACCATCATTATCATTTACTTAAAGCTTAATTGTGAAAACATCCTGTGTCAGCTAATGATAAAAGTACAATTTTGAGGCACTTTCTGCTACTTTATAGTACTTTTAGTCCACAATACTTTCAGAGGATTAAACTTTTTATCTCATTACAGTTTTTAAATCAGATATTAGAACAGTTAAGTAGTAGTTGAGGTGGTTTGGATCTTATCAGGATGCCTCCAGGGCACCTCCCTTTGGAACTTTTCTGGGCATGTCCGACTGGTAGGAGACCCAGAACACACTGGGGCGATTATATAACTCATCTGGCCTGGGCACGTGTCGAAATCCCAACAGAGGAAACGTTGGAAAACGTTGCTGGAGAGAGGCACATCTGGACTATGTTGCTGAACCTACTGCCACCGTGACCCGATCTTAGATAAGCAGAAGAAAATCAGTAGAGGGGAAAAAAGCTTTTGCTGTCAACTAAGTGTAGATTGAAAGTGATATAAGCTATATTTTTTAATGTACATAGTGTATTATTTTCCATACATTAAGCTATAGCTGTATCCCTGGCATAATCAGGTTCGTTTGTACATACTATGAGTGTACATACTGATTGTGTATTGTTTTATTCTTCTTCCCCCCCACCCCCCACCCCC